AATCCACGGCAGAGACATTTCTCCGTACAGAGAGCAATGCTGTGTCTGAATTCCACCTGAAACTCCATGGAATTCTAGGTTGGAATCATTTGCATGCGGTGTCTCTGTGGTCCTATAGATGAGGTGGTCTGCAGACTCAGATTACCAGGCTTTAGACGGGCATTCAGCGTGTTAATGTCCTTCCCCTTTCCATTAGATAATTTAAAAGCTGTGAAAAGGCCGAAACTGGTTTGGCTCAGTGGATAGAGCGTTGGCCTGCGGACTGAAAGGTCCCAGGTTCGATTCCGATCAAGGGCATGTACCTTAGTTGCAGGCACATCCCCAGTAGGGGGTGTGCAAGAGGCAACTGATCGATGATTCTCTCTCATTGATGTTTCTGACTCTTTATCCCTCTCTCTTCCTCTCTGTAAAAAATCAATAAAATATATAGATAAAATAAATAAATAAATAAATAAATAAATAAATAAATAAAAGCTGTGAAAAGGGTCTCAGCACAGTTGCACAGTGGCTCACATGTTTACATGTGCAGCAAGGCCCTGTCACCTGTGCAGTAGGTGCAGCTCTCCCCAGTGTCCTGAGGCCGTTTCGTGTCAGACGCGGTGGGGGTAACAGGCTGGCCAGGGGCAGACCCGCAAATCGACGGGTCCGATGGCCATGAAGGAGGGTCCCCTCTCTATCCGTTCTCGCCCGCACCCGTCAGTGCAGCTCGAGGACAAGCTCTGGGCCTCTGGTTCCCAACTCTTTGCACAACTTGTCTCCACACCGAAGAGCTGGCCAGATGCCTGCCCAGGTGGAGGCCATCCTTGTAGGAGCTGTCCCGTTCCCTTCCACATCAGCTGACGCTCCTCCACCTCCGCAGTTACTTCCTGTCCAGCAACCGGACCCGCAGGACGGAACACGCCGAATCCTCCCAGCAGCCTGTGTGGCTGGGGCTGCGATAGGCGACATCCAATGGAGGCTAAGGCAATGACTGAAAAATAGATCGTTTTAGGCACCCCATTCTGGATCTCTCTCTTTGGAGGATCCAAAGGAAGGACACGCTGTGGAAAACTCAGTCACATGAGAGCATGCACAGGGCGGTGGGGGCAGGGTCCCCCGAAGTTAAGTAGCCCAGAGTGGCACCCCCAGTGCAGGCCCAAAGCGCCCGCATGACTCTTCAGGGAGCGGTCGGCAGGCAGCTGTCCACGGGGGGGAGGGGGGGGGGGGGGGGGCGGGCTGCGTGGGGACAGTAGCTGGCACCTGGAAGGTGGCCTCCGGGTCTGCAGGAGCCTCAGCTTCCTCACAGAAAGCCACATGCCACCTGCTGAGCAAGGGTCTTAGGCACTGAGTGTTTGCACCCCTAACCCCCCAGGCGGCAGTCTAGTCCCCAATGTGAAGAGCAGGGAGGTAACTGGGGAAGCCCCACAAACAGAACCAGTGCCCCGAGGCAGGCCGGGGGCCACTGGCCCTCCCCACCAGGTCGGGCCATGGAGGGTCCCGCCCGAACCAGACTGTGCTGGCGCCCCGACCTTGCGTTGCCAGGTTTAAGATGGGCAAAGGTTTTCTGGACGCCGAGTGCCTTATCCAACGTTCAATACTTACCGGCCGCTGTGCTGCCAGCTCAGGCTGAGAAATGCAAGGGCCTCTCGCCCCATCTCAAAGATGCTTCTCCCCCAGGACTCGCCTCAGGGGTGTGAGCGCCTCTTAGCTCCCCGGGGAGCACAGAAAGGGGGTGCAAGGTGAGGCCTGGGTGGCTGAGGGGCCACACATGGCCATGAGTTTCTTGGGGCAACACTCCTTTAAATGTGGGAGAGCCTGATGGCTGTGCTGTGGGTGGTTTGGTGCTGAGACCCCCAGGCCAGGAGCAGAGGGTCTGAGGGCCCTGATCTGGCAGCAGCCCCGGGGGAGCCGGGAGGAGGAGGCACCGATTTGTTCCCGCCAAGAGGGAAAGAGGTAATCCCATGTAACAAGTTCAACCTGGGGACGCAGATGGGAGCAGCCCACCTACTCGTGAGTGAGCAGCCGGGGAAGCCGACACCTCTGCCCGAAGCCCCGGCAAGGACAGCCGGCTCCCCGCGGGCTGTGGGCAGAAGTGGGACAGCAGCTGGCACCAGGCAGGGAGTCAGTGTATCGCTGACACCGATCACACAGCAACAACAATAAAGCCAAACTGCGGGTCCTAGTGAGCGGACGCCGAAACCCAGCTGCACGTATCGGCAAACAATAAGGTAAACCAATTCTTTCAAACTTCCCTGTCCTCTCAGTTCTGAGCTTCGGTCTTAAGGAGTGATTGGTAGAAAAGTAAACATGAACCAACAAGCTCGCAGAAACCACAGACCAATCTGTACTTTTACCAAGAACGCCTTTTTGGAAATGTGAGAGCTTCAGTGGATGCAAAGATGGACAGTTCAGCTCACTAGAAACATGAGTGAAAGGCGCTGGGGGGAAGGGGGCCCAACGTGCGGAGGGCTGGGGTGTTCTGCTCTGATTGGGGGGCTGTCCGTGGGAAACGAGGGCAGTTAGTGCAAGCAAATGGGCTCAAAGAACTAAGAAATGACGACCTTGAACTGCCGCGCTGTCTGCAGAGCCGAGGGGCAGCAACACAAGTCCTGCCAGGGACGCTCTGGGCGTGCTGGTGGGGAGGCAGTGGTGCCGCCTGGGCACAGACAGTCCACACTTCAAACCATGCCGGCCCTTGCCTGGCACCTCCTTCCCCCACACCATCGACGCTTCGCCTGGCCTCGGTGCCCGCCCACTGGTCCACCTGCTGCCAGGCTGCCCAGGCTCTGCGTCCCTCATAGAGACAAGTCTGACCCACCCGAGGCCGGAGGACTCCCTCACGGCAGCTCGGGACAAGACTGAAAGTAACAGCCAATCACAGCTGTAAGCCTTCAAGCTCCTGAAGCCAAAACACGCACCTGTCCCGTCCTGCTTCTTCTTCCCACACTGCTGTGCCCGGATCCTGGCACCTGCTCTCCATCTCAGGCCACGTAAACCAGTTACTAAAATTCTGCAGCACTCCAAAAAATGTATTACATAGTTTGCTAATCTGACAAAAAATAAGTGTAATTTTGAGTTATGAAAAATAGCAATTACCTTTTTTGCTCCAAATGACTTTTCAAAAAAAATCAGGTGCCTATACTTTGTACACGAGAATTTCTAGTGCCAAGAATGAACCAAGCAGATGCAAACCTTATTGATGCGATGTGACCGATAAGATACAGTTCTATGAATGAATGACCTATACGTGTATGGTTCAAGACAGGGCATTCACACTGTTGTCATTTTTTAATCTGGCAATCTAGGGGGAAGTCAGTCCTCTGACTGAATAGGCGGGCAGTGCATGTCTTGAAAATTCACAGCGGTGTCCTCAGCAGGGATTCTCGCGTGGACAAAATGCGATCCCACAGGGAGACCCGGCGGAGTCGTTCCTTCCCCGGAGACAGCGGGAACCAGCTGCTTTGTCTAAGTCGTCCCCTGCCCCATCTTATTTACTGTGTGGCCCCAACCAAGGGCCTCTGACACCAAACTTCCAATTTACTATCAAATGTCTACTGTGTGTCAAAGGCAACACAAAGGCACCGACTCCCGCGAACAGGGATGACAGGCCACGTGCAGACGCCACGCGATACCTTGGTCTCCTGGACGCCTCGGCTGGTGGGTAGGGCGCTCACCATGCACCAGCCACGCCCCAGGCGCAGGGACACGATGCCTCCCTCCCCCGGCTGTGTAATGGGGATGCCAGTAGCACCCACCGCCCGAGTGAGTGGGTGAGGCGGGTGCAGGGGGAGCTGAGGCGGGGGCCTAGCTGATAACGGTGGTTCCTCTGGAGTTTCATGAGGTAACTTGTTATCCACAGAGAGCTGAGGTGCAGAGAGGGAAATCACGCTGGAAGGTCGAGTGCGACTCCTCTCAGACGGCTCCCTTCAGAATTTGCTGAGCCTCCAGTCAGAATGGGTTCCCCAAGACACACACATAGTCTCGTCGTAATACTTTTTTTATTACAATATCCAAAAAACTGAGTATGCAAGTTGAGGAGGTCTCAAGACCCCTTCTTTGACTGTAGGAATGTGCCATCTCAAGATAGTATATTTAAACTATAAAGGAGTTCAATGTCAAGAAAAAAGAAAACAAACATTCTGTGTGTCTTTTCCTACAATTACATATTCCTTTGTACACCCTGAAAAACCCTGTAAAGCAAATAATATATATATAAAATATATATATGTATATATTGTGTGTGTGTGTCAAGTGTTGGTAGCGTCCCTTCCCCACAGATCAGCTGTTTTCCTTAATCATCTGTATTAGTGTCAATAAATGGCTACAGACACCTATCAAGTGGAGAATTAAATACAGAACTGTGAATTCAAACACCCAGAGGGCAAGAGGAAAAGCACTATGTGGATGGCACACTCGGGGTAAATCACCAAACGTCTCTTTCCGAGCGGCGGTCCCTCTGCAGACGGACCTTCCGGAAAACCTTCCTTATTGCAAGCACAGCCCCAAAGGCACTGGCAGCTCCTCACCGCTGCCTCCCTGCTGGCTCCGGGACCGCTCCCAGCAGACGTCCACCCTGGACACCAGGGAAGGGCCAAGGGCTGAGCAGGGGCTGCTGGGAGCGGGGCCTCCGCCTGCGCTGCCGGGTCAGAGCCCAGGCTCGGGAGGCCCCGGGAGTGCGTGTGGGTCACTCCGTCACGGGTAGCTTCCGTGTGTGTTCCCGCTGCACCGCGGTGTTGACGCAGGAACAGACTGCACAGACTAAGGCTGCTTCCAACGGAGTGGAAAGAAAGAGAGCAAGCTCGCCCCTCCTCCGCCTCCCTTCTCTGCACCGGCCAGCAGCAGGTGGCCTTGGACACGGAGGGAGGCCCGGGTGGCAAACAGGAGCAGGAGGAGACAGCGGCCTGGACAGAGAGACCGGCCAGGCAGAGGAAGCCCACGGGGCAGAGTGGGCGGTGCAGAGGGGCCACCTAACAGCCTGTGGAGGTGAGTGCGGCCCCGAGGCTGGAGGCGAGGGGCCGGCGTCACTGCAGGGCCCGCACGAGGTAGAGCTTCTCCCCGTGCTCGCTGGTGAAGATGGGGGCCTTTTTGTAGTGCTCCACCAGCTCGTCCATGGTGTGGAACCGCCGCTGCCCGATGCAGTACACGCTGTCCACCAGCTGCACCTTGAAGTGCTTGTTCTTCCCTGACGCTTTGAGGGACACGGAGAAGTCGCTGGGCTGGGGAGGCAAGAGACACACGTTAGCCTGGCCGGCCTGGGCGGAGGCTCCCCTCCCAGAGCCGCAGCCGCCGGTCGTGCCCAGCGACGGGGGGGTTACCGCCCGCAGCTCTCTCACTCCCCACACCCAGCCGCACACACGCTGGCAGCGGCAGCCGCCCAGGGTCTGGCCACACAGCCAAAGGGACGAGGCACCTGCTGCCTGGAGGACCCCGCGCCGCCCAAGGCTCTAGGGGTCTGAAGAGGAGAAAAGTGAAACTGTGCTTCCCCGGGTTTGGCTGCTGGAGTATTTCAGTTCTTTTAAGACTGGAGCTTTGTTACAGAATGTACGGTCCAGGGTTAGCCTGGACACTGAGGGACCTACCTGATCTTTTCATTTCCAAAGCTACATTTTACAAACTGGGAGTTTTAAAACAGGGGCTTGTGCACAGACATCAGCTAAAAGGTTTTCTTCTCCTGGCTTCTGCCACCATTAGACATTCACCATCACAACGTTCTAATCTACTCCAGCTGCTTGGGGCCCATGGTTAGAACATCGGCCCTCCCACCAAAAGGTCTTGGGTTCAATTCCCAGTCAAGGGCACGTGCCTGGGCTGGGACGTGTGCAGGAGGTAACCAATACATGTTTCTTTCTCTGTCTCTCCCCCTACTTTTCACTATCTCTAAAAATCAATGGAAAAAATATATCCTCAGGTGAGGATTAACAAAAACAACAACAAAAGCTCTAATTATAAGCTATTTATAAAAGAAAACTTTAAGAGCAGTGGAAAAATCCTGGTTGCATTTTAAACACGGATCATAAACTCTCAGAGGGGCTGTATATTGGTTCAAGCACAGGTTTTATTGAGAGATGTTTAAATTTGTTATATGTCAGTACCACACTTATAATTGAATATATTTTAGAAAGACATCATTACTTGTATAATATTAAAATAGTCTTTTATTTCATTTATTGAAAAATATGCAGAAGATATTAAGAATGTTCTTTAGGAAAAAATTGATTAGTTCAATAAAGAACAATTATTTATTGGATACTAACTACACAGCAGACAGGCCGTGTCCTGGTACTGTGTGTGTGTATGTGTGTGTGTGTGTATGTGTGCGCGCGCGCCATGCATAGTACGTGTGCTGACCGTCCAGTGGGGAGGCAGATAATAAAAATAAAGAGGCCGTTATGACCTATTCTCACTAGTTGCAAACTGGTGGGCTCTATGAAGAGGAGGAGAGCACACCGAGGCAGGCCAGGCCAAGTTAAACAAGAGCGTGGGGCAGGCCAGGCTCCTGAGGACACTGGGGGAGCCGCCCTGTGTGAGAGTGGGGTGCTAGGGGAGTGGAACTGGACACCGGTGAAGGGAGGGAGGGAAGGGTCGCCTCTTTGGAGGCAGCGTGGCCAGCAAGGCGGAGGCGGAGGGATGCTGGCCTCCCTCAACGGCCTCAGAAGAAAACCCAGCTGCCCCGCCCTGCGACCCCCTGCTGCTCCCCCATCCCATTGTGGCCACGACAGCTGGCCCTGCCTACAAAGATCCAACCCACGAAAGCAGCGCCATGCCCAGTCCCGTTTCCCTCCTGCTCCTGGAGCTCTCTGGGCCCTACCCCATCCTTGGTCAACCGCTCCTGCAAGGCCCCGCTCAGAGGTCTCCTGAGCACGCCGCCTCTCTCCCAACCAGAAGGCTCTTCCCAGGCCTGGGTGAGGTGCGCCGTGGAGGCTGGCCCAGCCGCCCACCTACGCCCATCCCTTCTCCGTGCTCCTCACGCGCTCCTCACTGCATCTCTCCGACACCCACGACACTGCTGCTGAGGACACAGCGCGGCCCTCGCCGGGCCTCCACAGCATCCTGCCACGGTTTGTTAGGCCGAGTTTACAAACATTTGGTTAAAAGTGTGAGAATCTTGCAGAGCAAGAGCTAACCCATATAAACACGTGAAATGGGGTCTCAGGGAGCCAGCTGCACCTGTTAGCACAGGAGAATCAAAGCGACAGCTGTACTTAGGGCTTGTGGCTCGCTCTGCCCCAGACAGACCAGCGGAACAAGCCTGGGGGGTCGGCGGGACGGAGCTCAGGAGACAGGAAGGCTGGTCTCTGCGAGGCTGCACCTTATCTCAGGGGCGCGGCCACAGACGGCAGGAGTGGGAGAACACAGACCTGGAAACTACATTGCCAATTCAGACTCCGAGAAACGGGTCATCAGGAACGCTGACGTCACCGATGACCCTGTCGACCAGCCCTATCGACCTGGTTTTCTAAAGCACCAAGCGGCGTTCTAAGCAATAATGTGTCCACACAGTCCGCAAATCCGGATGGTTTTCTCAGGCCCGAGCCACCTGCAGAGGGAAGCAGCCTCACTGTCCTCACACTGCCGTCCGAGCCGCCCTGCGGCTCTCGGAGCAGGACAGATGGACCCAGGACAGAGCCCGCACCCACACCGCTCCCAGCGTCAGACCAGGGGCAGCTCACACCACACCTGCCTTCAGACCAGGGGCAGCTCACACCGCTCCCGGCGTCAGACCAGGGGCAGCTCACACCGCTCCCGGAGTCAGACCAGGGGCAGCTCACACCGCTCCCGGAGTCAGACCAGGGGCAGCTCACACCGCTCCCGGAGTCAGACCAGGGGCAGCTCACACCGCTCCCCGGCGTCAGGGGCAGCTCACACCGCTCCCGGCGTCAGACCAGGGGCAGCTCACACCGCTCCCCGGCGTCAGGGGCAGCTCACACCGCTCCCGGAGTCAGACCAGGGGCAGCTCACACCGCTCCCGGCGTCAGACCAGGGGCAGCTCACACCGCTCCCAGCGTCAGACCAGGGGCAGCTCACACCACACCTGCCTTCAGACCAGGGGCAGCTCACACCGCTCCCGGCGTCAGACCAGGGGCAGCTCACACCGCTCCCCGGGGTCAGGGGCAGCTCACACCGCTCCCCGGCGTCAGACCAGGGCAGCTCACACCGCTCCCCGGCGTCAGACCAGGGGCAGCTCACACCGCTCCCGGAGTCAGACCAGGGGCAGCTCACACCGCTCCCGGAGTCAGACCAGGGGCAGCTCACACCGCTCCCCGGAGTCAGGGGCAGCTCACACCGCTCCCGCCGTCAGACCAGGGCAGCTCACACCGTGGCAGGCAGCACACACAGCACAGCTACGCCCGCTCCCGGGCTGCAGGGTTCGAACTGCAGTGTGCAGTTTAAGCTCCTATCACTTCTATAACAGGTACGTCCTGAGCCGGAAGTTTCTGCCTCAGAGCAAAATGGAGGGCAACCTCCTTCACAGTTTGGCAGGAGCAGGCCCTGAGCTGGTTTCACAGACACTTTAATTCAATCACCGCCCCGGGGGCACTGTGCCGAGCAGGGCTGAGCAAGTCAGAGTGAGACTACGGGGGCCTGACGTACTTCCCAAATGATCAGCAGTGGCTTCTGGACAGGGAAGTTTGCCTTTACTCTAAGCTCCTTAGTTTCACACCGGGGCACCGGGGCACCGTGGCGCAGCAGAGGACAGAGATGCGCCAGGTTCAGCAGGCGGCGGGCTGAGCACCAGTTCCCAGTTCAGCCGAGCACACTCCTGTCTCTGCACTCACACCCGCTCCACGGTCCCACCAGCAGCTCCGCGTGGCCTGGCCACAAACACGCCAGGGAGCACCGGCAGCACCTGGCAGCTGCCCCCGGACCCAGGGAACCAAAACTCGGGGCAGGGCGCGGCCACCTGTGTTCTAGCCTCCAGCAACGTGTTTTTTTCTTTTTGGTAATCCTCACGTGAGGGTGTGTTTTTGCTGATTGTTAGAGAGTGGAGGGAGGGGGGAGACAGAGAGAGAAATATCCATGTGAGAGACACAGTGAGGGACAGGGCTGCCTCTCATATTTGCACCTGTCAGAGCGGGGATCGAGCCTGCAACAGAATACTGCCCTTGACCTACAGAGTACTGGAACTGAACAATGGCCCTTCAGTCCACTAGGCGATGCTCTACCCACTGAGCCAACTGGCTAGGGCTCAATCTGGAGTTACTGAGCCCTCCAGGGGCTGCTGACACAGAAATGAAACTGGGGCCACCACCACAGTGTTTCCCACGGTCGGACAGGAGGCAAAGTGTGAATGTCACTCACGGGCTCTGCACCCCCAAAGGAGGGTGTTCCCTGGCCAACCTCCCCACGGCTGCAGATCCTTTCTGATTCTCAGCCCTGCAGCAGACGTGGGGGGGGAGAGGGTATGTGTGCCTACGGGGACAGCGGACACGGTGGGGGGAGGGGTGCCTGCGGGGACAGCGGACACTGCTGGAGAATGTTCCAGTCTCTTCCCTCCAAACTGAGCCGGTCCAGGACCTGACAAGCCACCTGCTCCTCGGGACAGGGCGCGAGGCGGGCGTTCTGAGGGGCAGCGCCACAGCCCGGCCCAGGCTGCTGTGGCCCCGCCGGCCTGGCCTTCTGGGGGCACCGGCGTTTATCACTTCCTCAGCCAAGCGGCGCCATCCTTTCCTTTCCGTTGGTAAGTAGCTGTTTTTCTGTATCCGTGACCTCTTGAAGGAAGGCACTCTTCTATCGAGGGAAGTAGTTCCTTTACCTAAGCAACTGGCGAATGAACGGGTTGGAGGCCAGCTGCACTCCACTGACCCCTTGCCTCTGCTCTCCACTCAGAAAGGCCGGTTGGGAATTTCACCCTCTGTGGTGTCCATCTGCCTTCTTCTCATCAGAAGAGACTCAGTTTATACTTATGCCACTAGCTGTCAACTGATATTCTCTTTGTTTTCGCCTCAGTCGATCTTTTCACCTGCAGTTTCTGCTCTCCTGTGACCGCGTCTCTGAAATATTTACACCAACCCACACAACATGACGAAGCGTTATCGGTCTCATCAGTGTCTGAAGTGCACTTCTTCGCACGGGGGAAGAAAAATCAACCGTCGGCCGCAGAACAGCCCTCAAGGTCCACGGACCTTCTCTCTACCCCATCGAGTTTACTGTCCATGGTCACGTCGGCATGCGAGTGCCTGCCCCTCCCTGCCTCCAAAATGTATTTCTCAAAGTC